GGGGCCACAGTGGGGCCACAGTCTGAAGCTTCCAAACGTTCCTCTGGATGTGTTTGTGTCTCAGACTCGTGTTCAAGACGAGGACAGCCTCAAAATAGAACCAAACACTGTGTTCCAGTGTTTTCTTGTATCCAAACACACAAATATGACTCTGTAAACTGACCCACAATGCACCTGTGTGTCATCAGTGCCACACTGATGAAGGGCAGAGCATGGAGGTGGCGCCACACTGTGGCAGGAGGCAGCAAAAGGAAACTCTGCAAAACGCTCTAACACATGATGATGATATTTGAACATTGTCAGAGAAGAAGCCTGTCTCACGTCTTCAGGAAGACTGTTCCAGATTATAGCTGCATGAATTTGAAACGCTGCCTCCTCCTGTTTAGTCCTGACTCTGGGACCAGCAGGAGGCCAGTCCCTGTGCTCCTCAGAGTCCCAGCAGGAGGCCAGTCCCTGTGCTCCTCAGAGTCCCAGCAGGAGGCCAGTCCCTGTGCTCCTCAGAGTCCCAGCAGGAGGCCAGTCCCTGTGCTCCTCAGAGTCCCAGCAGGAGGCCAGTCCCTGTGCTCCTCAGAGTCCGTGATCAGAGATAGCAGCTCTGACACTTTAGACATTTGTTATTTGAATGGAACAAGAGCAGAGAAGATCCAACAGAGGCTGATTGTGGAGAGAAGCTAAAGCACGTTTATCTGAGAACATTTAAATCAGACTTTTACAGCGAACAAAGACTGAGCCTGAAACCAGAGACAGTTCACAGGCTCTGAAGGAGCAAAGACCACGTCAAACCTGGCAACCTCACTCCACTACTCTTTAAACACATTTAATACAGTTTTATATCAATTCTTTGGATCAATAGATAGGGTCTGACCTCTAACCTCTGCAGGACAGGGCCTGGTTAGTTCTGTGATGGGAGACCTCTGGGAACAGCAGGTGCCACAGTGGGGCGGCTGCGGCTGTAAAGTGCCAAACTGTGGTTGTGTCCTTTGGCAAGACACTTTCCCCACATTAGAATGAGTCTGGTGTGTGTGTGAATGGTTGGTGGTGGTGGGAGGGGCCTCGCTTCTGTCAGTGTGCCCCAGGGCAGCTGTGGCTACAGTAGTTTATCACCACCGTGTTTGGAGAGAGAGAATGATGTGAAGAGACTTTGAGCGTCTGAAAAGAACTGTGTAAAATGATACATATTATTAAAAGATTTTAAACTATACTCATACCTGTCTCTCCTGTCCCTGTACTCATACCTGTCTCTCCTGTCCCTGTGCTCATACCTGTCTCTCCTGTCCCTGTGCTCATACCTGTCTCTCCTGTCCCTGTACTCATACCTGTTTCTCCTGTCCCTGTGCTCATACCTGTCTCTCCTGTCCCTGTGCTCTCTTACCTGTCTCTCCTGTCCCTGTGCTCTCACCTGTCTCTCCTGTCCCTGTGCTCTCACCTGTCTCTCCTGTCCCTGTGCTCATACCTGTCTCTCCTGTCCCTGTGCTCATACCTGTCTCTCCTGTCCCTGTGCTCATACCTGTCTCTCCTGTCCCTGTGCTCTTACTTGTCTCTCCTGTCCCTGTGCTCATACCTGTCTCTCCTGTCCCTGTGCTCATACCTGTTTCTCCTGTCCCTGTGCTCATACCTGTTTCTCCTGTCCTTGTGCTCATACCTGTCTCTCCTGTCCCTGTGCTCTTACCTGTCTCTCCTGTCCCTGTGCTCATACCTGTTTCTCCTGTCCCTGTGCTCATACCTGTCTCTCCTGTCCCTGTGCTCTTACCTGTTTCTCCTGTCCCTGTGCTCTTACCTGTTTCTCCTGTCCCTGTGCTCATACCTGTCTCTCCTGTCCCTGTGCTCTTACCTGTCTCTCCTGTCCCTGTGCTCATACCTGTCTCTCCTGTCCCTGTGCTCATACCTGTTTCTCCTGTCCCTGTGCTCTTACCTGTCTCTCCTGTCCCTGTGCTCATACCTGTCTCTCCTGTCCCTGTGCTCTTACCTGTCTCTCCTGTCCCTGTGCTCATACCTGTCTCTCCTGTCCCTGTGCTCTTACCTGTTTCTCCTGTCCCTGTGCTCTTACCTGTTTCTCCTGTCCCTGTGCTCTTACCTGTCTCTCCTGTCCCTGTGCTCTTACCTGTCTCTCCTGTCCCTGTGCTCTTACCTGTCTCTCCTGTCCCTGTGCTCTTACCTGTTTCTCCTGTCCCTGTGCTCATACCTGTTTCTCCTGTCCCTGTGCTCATACCTGTTTCTCCTGTCCCTGTACTCTTACCTGTCTCTCCTGTCCCTGTGCTCTTACCTGTCTCTCCTGTCCCTGTGCTCATACCTGTCTCTCCTGTCCCCGTGCTCATACCTGTTTCTCCTGTCCCTGTGCTCTTACCTGTCTCTCCTGTCCCTGTGCTCTTACCTGTTTCTCCTGTCCCTGTGCTCATACCTGTTTCTCCTGTCCCTGTGCTCATACCTGTCTCTCCTGTCCCTGTGCTCATACCTGTCTCTCCTGTCCCTGTGCTCATACCTGTCTCTCCTGTCCCTGTGCTCTTACCTGTCTCTCCTGTCCCTGTGCTCATACCTGTCTCTCCTGTCCCTGTACTCATACCTGTTTCTCCTGTCCCTGTGCTCTTACCTGTCTCTCCTGTCCCTGTGCTCATACCTGTCTCTCCTGTCCCTGTGCTCATACCTGTCTCTCCTGTCCCTGTGCTCATACCTGTTTCTCCTGTCCCTGTGCTCTTACCTGTCTCTCCTGTCCCTGTGCTCTTACCTGTCTCTCCTGTCCCTGTGCTCTTACCTGTCTCTCCTGTCCCTGTGCTCATACCTGTCTCTCCTGTCCCTGTGCTCTTACCTGTCTCTCCTGTCCCTGTGCTCTTACCTGTCTCTCCTGTCCCTGTGCTCTTACCTGTCTCTCCTGTCCCTGTGCTCATACCTGTCTCTCCTGTCCCTGTGCTCATACCTGTTTCTCCTGTCCCTGTGCTCTTACCTGTCTCTCCTGTCCCTGTGCTCTTACCTGTCTCTCCTGTCCCTGTGCTCATACCTGTCTCTCCTGTCCCTGTGCTCATACCTGTCTCTCCTGTCCCTGTGCTCATACCTGTCTCTCCTGTCCCTGTGCTCTTACCTGTCTCTCCTGTCCCTGTGCTCATACCTGTCTCTCCTGTCCCTGTGCTCATACCTGTCTCTCCTGTCCCTGTGCTCTTACCTGTCTCTCCTGTCCCTGTGCTCATACCTGTTTCTCCTGTCCCTGTGCTCATACCTGTCTCTCCTGTCCCTGTACTCATACCTGTTTCTCCTGTCCCTGTGCTCTTACCTGTCTCTCCTGTCCCTGTGCTCATACCTGTCTCTCCTGTCCCTGTGCTCATACCTGTCTCTCCTGTCCCTGTGCTCATACCTGTTTCTCCTGTCCCTGTGCTCTTACCTGTCTCTCCTGTCCCTGTGCTCTTACCTGTCTCTCCTGTCCCTGTGCTCTTACCTGTCTCTCCTGTCCCTGTGCTCATACCTGTCTCTCCTGTCCCTGTGCTCTTACCTGTCTCTCCTGTCCCTGTGCTCATACCTGTCTCTCCTGTCCCTGTACTCATACCTGTTTCTCCTGTCCCTGTGCTCTTACCTGTCTCTCCTGTCCCTGTGCTCATACCTGTCTCTCCTGTCCCTGTGCTCATACCTGTCTCTCCTGTCCCTGTGCTCATACCTGTTTCTCCTGTCCCTGTGCTCTTACCTGTCTCTCCTGTCCCTGTGCTCTTACCTGTCTCTCCTGTCCCTGTGCTCATACCTGTTTCTCCTGTCCCTGTGCTCTTACCTGTCTCTCCTGTCCCTGTGCTCATACCTGTCTCTCCTGTCCCTGTGCTCATACCTGTCTCTCCTGTCCCTGTGCTCATACCTGTCTCTCCTGTCCCTGTGCTCTTACCTGTCTCTCCTGTCCCTGTGCTCTTACCTGTCTCTCCTGTCCCTGTGCTCTTACCTGTCTCTCCTGTCCCTGTGCTCATACCTGTCTCTCCTGTCCCTGTGCTCATACCTGTTTCTCCTGTCCCTGTGCTCTTACCTGTCTCTCCTGTCCCTGTGCTCTTACCTGTCTCTCCTGTCCCTGTGCTCATACCTGTCTCTCCTGTCCCTGTGCTCATACCTGTCTCTCCTGTCCCTGTGCTCATACCTGTCTCTCCTGTCCCTGTGCTCTTACCTGTCTCTCCTGTCCCTGTGCTCATACCTGTTTCTCCTGTCCCTGTGCTCATACCTGTCTCTCCTGTCCCTGTACTCATACCTGTCTCTCCTGTCCCTGTGCTCATACCTGTCTCTCCTGTCCCTGTGCTCTTACCTGTCTCTCCTGTCCCTGTGCTCATACCTGTCTCTCCTGTCCCTGTGCTCATACCTGTCTCTCCTGTCCCTGTGCTCTTACCTGTCTCTCCTGTCCCTGTGCTCATACCTGTCTCTCCTGTCCCTGTGCTCTTACCTGTCTCTCCTGTCCCTGTGCTCATACCTGTCTCTCCTGTCCCTGTGCTCTTACCTGTCTCTCCTGTCCCTGTGCTCATACCTGTCTCTCCCTGTCCCTGTACTCATACCTGTTTCTCCTGTCCCTGTGCTCTTACCTGTCTCTCCTGTCCCTGTACTCATACCTGTTTCTCCTGTCCCTGTGCTCTTACCTGTCTCTCCTGTCCCTGTGCTCATACCTGTCTCTCCTGTCCCTGTGCTCATACCTGTCTCTCCTGTCCCTGTGCTCTTACCTGTCTCTCCTGTCCCTGTGCTCATACCTGTCTCTCCTGTCCCTGTGCTCTTACCTGTCTCTCCTGTCCCTGTGCTCATACCTGTCCCTGTGCTCATACCTGTCCCTGTGCTCTTACCTGTCTCTCCTGTCCCTGTGCTCATACCTGTCCCTGTGCCCTTACCTGTCCCTGTGCTCTTACCTGTCTCTCCTGTCCCTGTGCTCATACCTGTCCCTGTGCTCTTACCTGTCCCTGTGCTCTTACCTGTCTCTCCTGTCCCTGTGCTCATACCTGTCCCTGTGCTCTTACCTGTCCCTGTGCTCTTACCTGTCCCCTGTGTCCCTGTGCTCTCAGATGGCGTCCCCCTCCCCCTCGTCCTCTCGGGGCCCCTCCCCTCAGAAAGTGTGCCACTCTCAGACTCAGACGGACGTACTGAAGCCGCTGCTGGGGGCGGCCATTGCTGGAGTGGGCGGAGCTCTGAGGAAAAGGAGGCGTGTCATGTCCAAAGATGGCCGCAGCAACATCCGCATCGAGCACCAGAGCGGCCGCAGCGCCCTCTACCTGCGGGACCTGTGGACTACGTTCGTGGACATGCAGTGGAGGTACAAGTTCTTCCTGTTCACCGCCACCTTCGCCGGCACCTGGTTCGTGTTCGGCGTCTTATGGTACATGGTGGCGCTGGTGCACGGAGACCTGCTCGGTGAGACTGACGCTGTTATGGTTTTTAATACTAGAGAGAGAGAACAGAGAGAGAGAGAGAGAGAGACCAGAGAGAGAGAGAGACCAGAGAGAGAGAGAGAGAGAGAGAGACCAGAGAGAGAGAGAGAGAGAGAGAGAGACCAGAGAGAGACCAGAGAGAGACCAGAGAGAGAGACCAGAGAGACACCAGAGAGAGACCAGAGAGAGAGACCAGAGAGACACCAGAGAGATACCAGAGAGAGAGAGAGAGAGAGACCAGAGAGAGAGAGAGAGAGAGACCAGAGAGAGAGAGAGAGAGAGACCAGAGAGAGAGAGAACAGAGAGAGAGAGAGAAAGAGGAGAGAGAGACCAGAGAGAGACCAGAGAGAGAGAGAGAGAGAGAGAGAGAGAGAGAGAGCAGAGAGAGAGAGAGACCAGAGAGAGAGAGAGAGAGACCAGAGAGAGACCAGAGAGAGACCAAAGAGAGAGACCAGAGAGAGACCAGAAAGAGACCAGAGAGAGACCAAAGAGAGAGACCAGAGAGAGACCAGAGAGAGAGACCAAAGAGAGAGACCAAAGAGAGAGACCAGAGAGAGACCAGAGAGAGACCAGAGAGAGAGAGACCAGAGAGACCAGAGAGAGACCAGAGAGAGAGAGACCAGAGAGACCAGAGAGAGACCAGAGAGAGACCAGAGAGAGAGACCAGAGAGAGAGACCAAAGAGAGACCAGAGAGAGACCAGAGAGAGACCAGAGAGAGAGACCAGAGAGAGAGACCAAAGAGAGAGACCAAAGAGAGAGACCAGAGAGAGACCAGAGAGACGGACCAGAGAGACACCAGAGAGAGACCAGAGAGAGACCAGAGAGAGAGACCAGAGAGAGACCAGAGAGAGACCAGAGAGAGACCAGAGAGAGAGACCAGAGAGAGAGACCAAAGAGAGACCAGAGAGAGACCAGAGAGAGACCAGAGAGAGAGACCAAAGAGAGAGACCAAAGAGAGAGACCAGAGAGAGACCAGAGAGACGGACCAGAGAGACACCAGAGAGAGACCAGAGAGAGACCAGAGAGAGAGACCAGAGAGAGACCAGAGAGAGACTAGAGAGAGACCAGAGAGAGACCAGAGAGAGACCAGAGAGAGACCAGAGAGACGGACCAGAGAGAATGTGCAATATAGAACCACATGTGGTTTTGTTTTATAAAATATCAGGAAATGTCGTACTTTAGTACGTTTAGTTTATAGTGTGCTCCTCCTTCTCCTGTAACTGATGATACAGAACTGTAACTGATGATACAGAACTGTAACTGATGATACAAAACTGTAACTGATGATACAGAACTGTAACTGATGATACAAAACTGTAACTGATGATACAGAACTGTAACTGATGATACAGAACTGTAACTGATGATACAAAACTGTAACTGATGATACAGAACTGTAACTGATGATACAAAACTGTAACTGATGATACAAAACTGTAACTGATGATACAGAACTGTAACTGATGATACAAAACTGTAACTGATGATACAAAACTGTAACTGATGATACAGAACTGTAACTGATGATACAGAACTGTAACTGATGATACAAAACTGTAACTGATGATACAAAACTGTAACTGATGATACAAAACTGTAACTGATGATACAGAACTGTAACTGATGATACAGAACTGTAACTGATGATACAAAACTGTAACTGATGATACAGAACTGTAACTGATGATACAGAACTGTAACTGATGATACAAAACTGTAACTGATGATACAGAACTGTAACTGATGATACAAAACTGTAACTGATGATACAAAACTGTAACTGATGATACAGAACTGTAACTGATGATACAAAACTGTAACTGATGATACAAAACTGTAACTGATGATACAGAACTGTAACTGATGATACAGAACTGTAACTGATGATACAAAACTGTAACTGATGATACAAAACTGTAACTGATGATACAGAACTGTAACTTCCCGTCGTATCAATATTGACTGAACCACGTTTTGATCTTGAGGCAAAACAAATTGGTTTTTCACTTCCTGGTTCATAAATGACTTTCTCAACTGTTAAACCGGGTCTGGGTTTGACTAGTGCTTTTTAAACACTCACATTGATGCACTTGGTTTAATCTGGGGCAGTCTTCCTGAAAATGTGAGACAGGCTTCTTCTCTGACAGTGTTTAAATGTAGGTTTAAAGATGTAGTTTAATTATTATTACAAGTCAGAGAAATGTTGTTTAGCTTCTGACCTGCAATAGTGTAGGACCATATTTACAACACAGAGAGAGACCAGAGAGAGACCAGAGAGAGACCAGAGAGAGACCAGAGAGAGACCAGAGAGAGAGACCAGAGAGAGAGACCAGAGAGAGACCAGAGAGAGAGACCAGAGAGAGACCAGAGAGAGAGACCAGAGAGAGAGACCAGAGAGAGACCAGAGAGAGACCAGAGAGAGACCAGAGAGAGACCAGAGAGAGACTAGAGAGAGACCAGAGCGAGACCAGAGAGAGGGACCAGAGAGAGACCAGAGAGAGACCAGAGAGAGACCAGAGAGACCAGAGAGAGACCAGAGAGAGACCAGAGAGAGACCAGAGAGAGACCAAAGAGAGACCAGAGAGAGACCAGAGAGAGACCAGAGAGAGACCAGAGAGAGACCAGAGAGAGACCAGAGAGAGACCAGAGCGAGACCAGAGAGAGGGACCAGAGAGAGACCAGAGAGAGACCAGAGAGAGACCAGAGAGAGACCAGAGAGACCAGAGAGAGACCAGAGAGAGACCAGAGAGAGACCAGAGAGAGACCAGAGAGAGACCAGAGAGAGACCAGAGAGAGACCAAAGAGAGACCAGAGAGAGACCAGAGAGAGACCAGAGAGAGACCAGAGAGAGACCAGAGAGAGACCAGAGAGAGACCAGAGAGAGACCAGAGCGAGACCAGAGAGAGGGACCAGAGAGAGACCAGAGAGAGACCAGAGAGAGACCAGAGAGAGACCAAAGAGAGACCAGAGAGAGACCAGAGAGAGACCAGAGAGAGACCAGAGAGAGACCAGAGAGAGACCAGAGCGAGACCAGAGAGAGGGACCAGAGAGAGACCAGAGAGAGACCAGAGAGAGACCAGAGAGACCAGAGAGAGACCAGAGAGAGACCAGAGAGAGACCAGAGAGAGACCAGAGAGAGACCAGAGAGAGACCAGAGAGAGACCAGAGAGAGACCAGAGAGAGACCAAAGAGAGACCAGAGAGAGACCAGAGAGAGACCAGAGAGAGACCAGAGAGAGACCAGAGAGAGACCAGAGAGAGACCAGAGAGAGACCAGAGCGAGACCAGAGAGTGACCAGAGAGAGAGACCAGAGAGAGGGACCAGAGAGAGACCAGAGAGAGACCAGAGAGAGACCAGAGAGAGACCAGAGAGAGACCAGAGAGACCAGAGAGAGACCAGAGAGAGAGACCAGAGAGAGACCAGAGCGAGACCAGAGAGAGGGACCAGAGAGAGACCAGAGAGAGACCAGAGAGAGACCAGAGAGAGACCAGAGAGAGACCAGAGAGAGACCAGAGAGAGACCAGAGAGAGAGACCAGAGAGAGACCAGAGAGAGGGACCAGAGAGAGACCAGAGAGAGACCAGAGAGAGACCAGAGAGAGACCAGAGAGAGACCAGAGAGACCAGGGAGAGACCAGAGAGAGAGACCAGAGAGAGACCAGGGAGAGACCAGAGAGAGAGACCAGAGAGAGACCAGAGAGAGACCAGAGAGAGAGACCAGAGAGAGACCAGAGAGAGACCAGAGAGACCAGAGAGAGACCAGAGAGAGACCAGAGAGAGACCAGAGAGAGACCAGAGAGAGACCAGAGAGAGACCAGAGAGAGACCAGAGAGAGAGACCAGAGAGAGACCAGAGAGAGACCAGAGAGAGACCAGAGAGAGACCAGAGAGAGACCAGAGAGAGACCAGAGAGACCAGAGAGAGACCAGGGAGAGACCAGAGAGAGAGACCAGAGAGAGACCAGGGAGAGACCAGAGAGAGAGACCAGAGAGAGACCAGAGAGAGACCAGAGAGAGAGACCAGAGAGAGACCAGAGAGACCAGAGAGAGACCAGAGAGAGACCAGAGAGAGACCAGAGAGAGACCAGAGAGAGACCAGAGAGAGACCAGAGAGAGACCAGAGAGACCAGAGAGAGACCAGAGAGAGACCAGAGAGAGACCAGAGAGAGACCAGAGAGAGACCAGAGAGAGAGCAGAGAGAGAGACCAGAGAGAGCAGAGAGAGACCAGAGAGAGACCAGAGAGAGACCAGAGAGAGAGACCAGAGAGAGACCAGAGAGTCCAGAGTCCAGAGAGAGACCAGAGAGAGACCAGAGAGAGACCAGAGAGAGAGACCAGAGAGAGACCAGAGAGAGACCAGAGAGAGGGACCAGAGAGAGACCAGAGAGAGACCAGAGAGAGACCAGAGAGACCAGAGAGAGACCAGAGAGAGACCAGAGGGAGAGACCAGAGAGAGACCAGAGCGAGACCAGAGAGAGGGACCAGAGAGAGACCAGAGAGAGACCAGAGAGAGACCAGAGAGAGACCAGAGAGACCAGAGAGAGACCAGAGAGAGACCAGAGAGAGATACCAGAGAGAGAGACCAGAGAGAGACCAGAGCGAGACCAGAGAGAGGGACCAGAGAGAGACCAGAGAGAGACCAGAGCGAGACCAGAGAGAGGGACCAGAGAGAGACCAGAGAGAGACCAGAGAGAGACCAGAGAGAGACCAGAGAGAGACCAGAGAGAGACCAGAGAGAGACCAGAGAGAGACCAGAGAGAGAGACCAGAGAGAGACCAGAGAGAGGGACCAGAGAGAGACCAGAGAGAGACCAGAGAGAGACCAGAGAGAGACCAGAGAGAGACCAGAGAGACCAGAGAGAGACCAGGGAGAGACCAGAGAGAGAGACCAGAGAGAGACCAGGGAGAGACCAGAGAGAGAGACCAGAGAGAGACCAGAGAGAGACCAGAGAGACCAGAGAGAGACCAGAGAGAGACCAGAGAGAGACCAGAGAGAGACCAGAGAGAGACCAGAGAGAGAGACCAGAGAGAGACCAGAGAGAGACCAGAGAGAGACCAGAGAGAGATCAGAGAGAGACCAGAGAGAGACCAGAGAGACCAGAGAGAGACCAGGGAGAGACCAGAGAGAGAGACCAGAGAGAGAGACCAGAGAGAGAGACCAGAGAGAGACCAGAGAGAGACCAGAGAGAGACCAGAGAGAGACCAGAGAGAGACCAGAGAGAGACCAGAGAGAGACCAGAGAGAGACCAGAGAGAGACGAGAGAGAGACCAGAGAGAGACCAGAGAGAGACCAGAGAGAGACCAGAGAGAGACCAGAGAGAGACCAGAAAGAGACCAGAGAGAGACCAGAGAGAGACCAGAGCGAGACCAGAGAGAGACCAGAGAGAGAGACCAGAGAGAGACCAGAGAGAGTCCAGAGAGAGACCAGAGAGGGACCAGAGAGAGACCAGAGAGAGAGACCAGAGAGAGACCAGAGAGAGAGACCAGAGAGAGGGACCAGAAAGAGACCAGAGAGAGAGACCAGAGAGAGACCAGAGAGAGAGACCAGAGAGAGACCAGAGAGAGACCAGAGAGAGACCAGAGAGAGAGACCAGAGAGAGAGACCAGAGAGAGACCAGAGAGAGAGACCAGAGAGAGACCAGAGAGAGACCAGAGAGACCAGAGAGAGACCAGAGAGACCAGAGAGAGACCAGAGAGAGACCAGAGAGAGACCAGAGAGAGACCAGAGAGAGACCAGAGAGAGACCAGAGAGAGACCAGAGAGACCAGAGAGAGACCAGAGAGAGACCAGAGAGAGACCAGAGAGACCAGAGAGAGACCAGAGAGAGAGCAGAGAGAGAGACCAGAGAGAGCAGAGAGAGAGCAGAGAGAGACCAGAGAGAGACCAGAGAGAGACCAGAGAGAGAGACCAGAGAGAGACCAGAGAGAGACCAGAGAGAGACCAGAGAGAGACCAGAGAGAGACCAGAGAGAGAGACAAGAGAGAGACCAGAGAGAGACCAGAGAGAGTCCAGAGAGAGACCAGAGAGGGACCAGAGAGAGACCAGAGAGAGAGACCAGAGAGAGACCAGAGAGAGACCAGAGCGAGACCAGAGAGAGGGGACCAGAGAGAGACCAGACATAGAGTCACAACAAGAGAGAGAGACCAGACATCATAGAGTCACAACAGACATAGAGTCACAACAAGAGAGACATCATAGAGTCACAACAGACGTCATAGAGTCACAACAGACCATAATAGAGTCACAACAAGAGACATCATAGAGTCACAACAAACATCATAGTCACAACAAGAGACATCATAGAGTCACAACAGACATCATAAAGTCACAACAGACATCATAGAGTCACAACAGACATCATAGAGTCACAACAAGAGACATCATAGAGTCACAACAGACATCATAGAGTCACAACAGACATCATAGAGTCACAACAGACATCATAAAGTCACAACAAGAGACATCATAGAGTCACAACAGACATCATAGAGTCACAACAGACGTCATAGAGTCACAACAGACATCATAGAGTCACAACAGACATCATAGAGTCACAACAGACATCATAGAGTCACAACAGACATCATAGAGTCACAACAAGAGACATCATAGAGTCACAACAGACGTCATAGAGTCACAACAGACATCATAGAGTCACAACAGACATCATAGAGTCACAACAGACATCATAGAGTCACAACAGATATCATAGAGCCACAACAGACATCATAGTCACAACAGACATCATAGAGCCACAACAGACATCATAGAGTCACAACAGATATCATAGAGTCACAACAGACGTCATAGAGTCACAACAGACATCATAGAGTCACAACAGACATCATAGAGCCACAACAGACATCATAGAGTCACAACAGACGTCATAGAGCCACAACAGACATCATAGTCACAACAGACATCATAGAGCCACAACAGACGTCATAGAGTCACAACAGACATCATAGAGTCACAACAACAGACGTCATAGAGTCACAACAGACATCATAGAGTCACAACAAGAGACATCATAGTCACAACAGACGTCATAGAGTCACAACAGACATCATAGAGTCACAACAAGAGACATCATAGAGTCACAACAGACATCATAGAGTCACAACAAGAGACATCATAGAGTCACAACAGACATAGAGTCACAACAAGAGACATCATAGAGTCACAACAGACGTCATAGAGTCACAACAGACATAATAGAGTCACAACAAGAGACATCATAGAGTCACAACAGACATCATAGAGTCACAACATACATCATAGAGTCACAACAGACATCATAGAGTCACAACAGACGTCATAGAGTCACAACAGACATCATAGAGTCACAACAAGAGACATCATAGAGTCACAACAGACATCATAGAGTCACAACAGACATCATAGAGTCACAACAAGAGACATCATAGAGTCACAACAGACATCATAGAGTCACAACAGACATCATAGAGTCACAACAGACATCATAGAGTCACAACAAGAGACATCATAGAGTCACAACAGACATCATAGAGTCACAACAGACGTCATAGAGTCACAACAGACATCATAGTCACAACAAGAGACATCATAGAGTCACAACAGATGTCAGAGTCACAACAGACATCATAGAGTCACAACAGACGTCATAGAGTCACAACAGACATCATAGAGTCACAACAGACATCATAGAGTCACAACAGACATCATAGAGCTACAACAGACATCATAGAGTCACAACAGACATCATAGAGTCACAACAGACATCATAGAGTCACAACAGACATCATAGAGTCACAACAGACATCATAGAGTCACAACAGACGTCATAGAGTCACAACAGACATCATAGAGTCACAACAAGAGACATCATAGAGTCACAACAGACGTCATAGAGTCACAACAGACATCATAGAGTCACAACAGACATCATAGAGTCACAACAAGAGACATCATAGAGTCACAACAGACATCATAGAGTCACAACAGACATCATAGTCACAACAGACATCATAGTCACAACAGACATCATAGAGTCACAACAGACATCATAGAGTCACAACAAGAGACATCATAGAGTCACAACAAGAGACATCATAGAGTCACAACAGACGTCATAGAGTCACAACAGACATCATAGAGTCACAACAGACATAGAGTCACAACAGACATCATAGAGTCACAACGGACATCATAGAGTCACAACAGACGTCATAGAGTCACAACAGACATCATAGAGTCACAACAGACGTCATAGTCACAACAGACATCTTAGAGTCACAACAGACACCATAGAGTCACAACAGACATCATAGAGTCACAACAAGAGACATCATAGAGTCACAACAGACATCATAGAGTCACAACAGAGATCATAGAGTCACAACAGACGTCATAGTCACAACAGACATCATAGAGTCACAACAGACATCATAGAGTCACAACAGACATCATAGAGTCACAACAGACATCATAGAGTCACAACAGACATAGAGTCACAACAAGAGACATCATAGAGTCACAACAGACATCATAGAGTCACAACAAGAGACATCATAGAGTCACAACAGACATCATAGAGTCACAACAGACGTCATAGTCACAACAGACATCATAGAGTCACAACAGACATCATAAGGTCACAACAGACATCATAGAGTCACAACAGACGTCATAGTCACAACAGACATCATAGAGTCACAACAGACGTCATAGAGTCACAACAGACGTCATAGAGTCACAACAGACATCATAGAGCCACAATAGACATCATAGAGTCACAACAAGAGACATCATAGAGTCACAACAGACATCATAGAGTCACAACAGACATCATAGAGTCACAACAGACATCATAGAGTCACAACAGACATCATAGAGTCACAACAGACATCATAGAGTCACAACAGACATCATAGAGTCACAACAATAGGTCATGCCCCAATCCAGTCCCGGTCCAGCCCCGGTTTATCCCCGGTCCCACCTCGGTCCAGCCCCGGTCCCACCTCGGTCCAGCCCCGGTCCAACCTCGGTCCAGCCCCGGTCCCACCTCAGTCCAGCCCCGGTCCAACCTCGGTCCAGCCCCGGTCGCACCTCGGTCCAGCCCCGGTCCCACCTCGGTCCAGCTCCTTTCCAACCTCGGTCCAGCCCCGGTCCAACCTCGGTCCAGCCTCGGTCCAACCTCGGTCCAACCTCGGTCCAGCCCCGGTCCCACCTCGGTCCAGCCTCGGTCCTGGTCGGTCTATAGTCCCGGCCTCTTTTCAAACATCAGCTCAAATAGATCTTTACCTGAACGTCATCGTACACAGTCTCCTCCAAGTTTTCTCTTTTCACTGAAGAAAGAAGAGAAAAACTGAATATTAAAGACAGTTTGGACTTTTATCAGATCATCATAAATACAAATACTCACTTCTTTTCCTTCGTTTCAAATCAAAGAACAAATACACTAAAACTAGCGCCACAACAAAAGTCACGACGCCAAAAATGATGAAGCGGATTACTGCGGGTTTGTCGTCTGTAACAGAGAGAATCACTCATTTATGTATTTTACAACAGAACATTTAGTCATTTCTTCATTTGTTCAATATTTAATCAATGATCATCCTCTGTTTAACATTAGGACTTCCAGAATTATAATTAAAGTAAGTATATAACTTTGACTTTCAATAAGAGCTAAAACGGGTGAATATGTACTTGAAATACAGAGAAAATAGTTCGTTGACATGCTAATGCTAACGGCTAAAGGCTAATGCTAACGGCTAAAGGCAATGCTCGCTAGTGGACAATCACAGTGGACAATCACAGAGACCAGAGAGAGGTGCTCCGCTCTGATAGAGGCTGGCAAAAGATAACGTTGGCTGAGATGCTAACAGGCTAACATGCTAACATGCTAACAGGCTAACAGCTTCTTTCAGTCTGAACAAAGCACTTTAATGATCTTCACTTGTATTGTTTCTGTACTTTTTAGCTTTTGTCTTATTCATGTACTTGTCTGAAGCACACTGGGGACTCTTGCACATGTATTCCACTGTGGTTTTACTGCAAATAAACTGATTCTGAATCTTTATGCTTTGAACGTGCAGAGAATAAGTCTTGTACAGATGTGTTCTTTACCCTTTATTCCCTTTTTTTCACACTCCTGCTGATAGTCCCAGGTGTCCTGGCTCCAGCTGACGTGGTTGCTATGGTTACAGATGATGGACGACCCTGACAGGAAGAGGGCGATGGAGGAGTCTGTGTGTCCAGGTGAGTGTGTGTCGCTCTGGTCACAGCTGTTTGTGACGCAGCTGAACGAGCGAGAGACGGCTCCTTCAGAGAGCCCAGAGCTGCAGGTTACGGTGAAGTTACACATCTGAGCACGGCTCCACACGGAGTCCACACTCAGACGCACAGGAGACACTGGATCTGCACAGGGACCACATTACTGTGAGTTAGAGTCAGGACATGGGACCTCATTACTGTGAGTTAGAGTCAGGACATGGGACCACATTACTGTGAGTTAGAGTCAGGACATGGGACCACATTACTGTGAGTTAGAGTCAGGACATGGGACCTCATTACTGTGAGTTAGAGTCAGGACATGGGACCTCATTACTGTGAGTTAGAGTCAGGACATGGGACCTCATTACTGTGAGTCAGAGTCAGGACATGGGACCACATTACTGTGAGTTAGAGTCAGGACATGGGACCACATTACTGTGAGTTAGAGTCAGGACATGGGACCTCATTACTGTGAGTCAGAGTCAGGACATGGGACCACATTACTGTGAGTTAGAGTCAGGACATGAGACCACATTACTGTGAGTTAGAGTCAGGACATGGGACCTCATTACTGTGAGTTAGAGTCAGGACATGGGACCTCATTACTGTGAGTTAGAGTCAGGACATGGGACCACATTACTGTGAGTTAGAGTCAGGACATGGGACCACATTACTGTGAGTTAGAGTCAGGACATGGGACCACATTACTGTGAGTTAGAGTCAGGACATGGGACCTCATTACTGTGAGTTAGAGTCAGGACATGGGACCACATTACTGTGAGTTAGAGTCAGGACATGGGACCTCATTACTGTGAGTTAGAGTCAGGACATGGGACCTCATTACTGTGAGTTAGAGTCAGGACATGGGACCTCATTACTGTGAGTTAGAGTCAGGACATGGGACCACATTACTGTGAGTCAGAGTCAGGACATGGGACCACATTACTGTGAGTTAGAGTCAGGACATGGGACCACATTACTGTGTGTTAGAGTCAGGACATGGGACCTCATTACTGTGAGTTAGAGTCAGGACATGGGACCTCATTACTGTGAGTTAGAGTCAGGACATGGGACCTCATTACTGTGAGTTAGAGTCAGGACATGGGACCACATTACTGTGAGTTAGAGTCAGGACATGGGACCACATTACTGTGTGTTAGAGTCAGGACATGGGACCTCATTACTGTGAGTTAGAGTCAGGACATGGGACCTCATTACTGTGAGTTAGAGTCAGGACATGGGACCTCATTACTGTGAGTTAGAGTCAGGACATGGGACCACATTACTGTGAGTCAGAGTCAGGACATGGGACCACATTACTGTGAGTTAGAGTCAGGACATGGGACCACATTACTGTGTGTTAGAGTCAGGACATGGGACCTCATTACTGTGAGTTAGAGTCAGGACATGGGACCTCATTACTGTGAGTTAGAGTCAGGACATGGGACCTCATTACTGTGAGTTAGAGTCAGGACATGGGACCACATTACTGTGAGTTAGAGTCAGGACATGGGACCACATTACTGTGTGTTAGAGTCAGGACATGGGACCTCATTACTGTGAGTTAGAGTCAGGACATGGGACCTCATTACTGTGAGTTAGAGTCAGGACATGGGACCTCATTACTGTGAGTTAGAGTCAGGACATGGGACCTCATTACTGTGAGTTAGAGTCAGGACATGGGACCACATTACTGTGAGTCAGAGTCAGGACATGGGACCTCATTACTGCAGTAACAGCAGCAGTAGCAGTTTGCATGTTCTCCCTGTGTACAGTTTGAGTGTGAGACAGATGCAGAGGTTCTTTAACTTGTAAAGTCCAGATTAATAAAACAACAGATGAAAGAGTTCAGTCCTGAAACATCTGAAGGAAACTCACCTTCTACTGAGACGTCAAAGGATCCAAGGGTTTTATCTTTGTCTCCAGACGACTCAGCTGTGTATCTCCCACTGTCTTTGAGCTGGACACTTTTTAGAACCAGAGAGAAATTTTGTGGAAAAAACTGAACCCTGTCTTTATAATCATCATGTATTATTACATCACTATATTTTTGTATTAATTGTACTATATTTTTGCTGGAGTTAAATTTCCAGGTAAATAAGATAAATTTGTCTGGTGGCTTTGTATCGAGGACGAGGTCTTTGTTGGTCTGGATAAATCTCTCTGAGTCGATACCTGTGAATAAATGAGATAAAAACAGTCAGAAAATGTCTTTTATTTGACATTTTTATATTTAGGTGAAACCACAGAAACAGATTTGGATCCAGAGAATTTCATGAACTCAACTCTTTCTGCTCTAGTCGCAGGAAATGTCAACACAGAGATATTTTTAATCTATAATAATAATAATAATAATAATAATAATATAAATAATAACAATAATAATAATAAAATAAAATAATAACAATAAAATAATAATAATAATAAAATAATAACAATAAAATAATAATAATAATAAAATAATAACAATAATAATAATACAGTGCGTGCAGAATTATTAGGCAAGTCAGTATTTTGATGACATTGTTCATTCTATACATATTGTCAAGCTCTAATCTGTATAATCTTGAATGCCAATCAAATTTTAAGCATACCAGGTGAAGTGCATTTTAATAATGAGCGAGGGCGTGGCCTAAGGAGATCAAAATTCTACATCAGGTGTGCACAATTATTAGGCAGCTTCTTTTTCTCAGGCAAAATGGACCAGAAGAGAGATCTCACAGACTCTGAAAAGTCCAAAATTGTCAAATGCCTTGCAGAGGGATCAAACGCTTTGTTGCAAATTCCCAACAAGGACGCAAGAAACGTGTTGATACAAAAAGACGCAAAGTAGCAGCAAAAGATATGAGGAGAATCAAGCGTGAGGCTACTAGGAACCCATTATCCTCCAGTGCAGTCATATTCCAGAACTGTAACCTACCTGGGGTGTCCAGAAGTACAAGGTGTTCCGTACTCAGAGACATGGCCAAGGTAAGAAAGGCTGAAAAAAGACCCCCACGGAATAAGACACATAAGATAAAGCGTCAAGACTGGGCCAAGAAATATCTGAAGACAGATTTTTCCAATGTTTTATGGACTGATGAGATGAGAGTGACTCTTGATGGACCACATGGATGGGCCCGTGGTTGGATCAGTCATGGGCAGAGAGCCCCACTCCGGCTCAGACGCCAGCAAGGTGGAGGTGGAGTACTGGTGTGGGCTGGTATTATTAAAGATGAGCTGGTTGGGCCATTAAAGCCTAGTGTATACTTGCGCGGCGTGGCTTACGTTAGCGGTTGCGGTGGACCTACGTAAGCACAATTGATGTTATACTGGCGCGTTCCCCTTACGGAGTTTTGAGGAGAATGTTGTAATCCCACAACAAACCACATGAGGGCGATCACACAGGAGCGGTCCCATTTACGCTTTTGTCCTCTTCAGAACAACATTAGCAAACAAAGCTGTTTGAGCTCATTACACGTGTTTCTACTGCAGGTTTGTGTGATAGTTTTATGGATTCATTATTTTATAAGTTATTTCAACTGTGATTCTGTGAATAAAGACACAGTTCTTGTTGGAAACATAGTTATTATTAAATAGTTTTCAGCACAAACAGCAAAACAATAATAGTGGTAAATATCTGACATAAACGATTTACGAGTGCAGGAGGAAAGCAACAAACGCAGCTACAATTCAAACAAAGACAGGAACAGTGCAAAACAAACGACTGCACAGTTTATAAGTTATATATATGTTAGATATAAGTTATATATATGTTAGATAGTCCACAGTCTCCTGTATATCAGGCTCTGAGCCCAAACTGCTTTTCCTTCGAAGCACAAAGCTCTCTGCTCCATAGTGCCTCGTCCATGCTCCTGCTGCAGCCGCTCCGTGCTTCCTTCCAATACACACACACGGACCAATCACAGCGGAGATTCCTTGCGGCGACCCTTACGTAGTTAGAAAATTTCGATGCTGCAGGGCAGGCAACGTAAGGGCCTTGCGGTGACCAACGCGTTGCGCAAGTGACGTCACGTCACCTCCGTAAGCTCCGCGCCGCGCGAGTATAAACTAGGCTTTAGGGTTGAAGACGGACTAAAACTAAAACTCCCAAACTTACTGTCAGTTTCTAGAAGGAACTTTTTTCAAGCAGTGGTACAGGAGAAAGCCTGCATCATTCAAAAAGACCATGATTTTCATGCAGGACAATGCTCCATCTCATGCATCCAAATACTCCTGCTTGGCTAGCCAGTAAAGGCCTAAAAGAAGGAAAGATTATGACATGGCCCCCTTGCTCACCTGACCTTAACCCAATTGAGAACTTGTGGGCCCTTATTAAACGAGACCTTTACAGGGAAGGAAAGCAGTACACCTCTCTGAACAGTGTCTGGGAGGCGTTGGTTGTTACGGCACAAAAAGTTGATCGTCAACAGATCAAGGAACTGACGGACTCCATGGATGGCCGGCTTTTGAGTGTTATTGAAAAGAAGGGTGGCTATATTGGCCACTGATGTTCTGTTCTTAAAACTTTAGCAGTATTTTTCTACATTAGGAGCTGTTTTATTTAAACAAATGAAAATGAATAGATGAGTTGAGATAACTTTGAGTTTCATTGAGCTGCATAATAATTGTGAACACACAGATATATATTTGTTGTATTTGTATGATTGGTAACAACTCACTTTTACTTTTTGGAATATCTACGTTTGGGATGTATCAACATTTTGCATTGATCAAAAGCACTCTTGTAGTTCAATAATTGAATAAATCCTCAAAATAAAACTTCTGCACGCAGTGTAATAAAACCAGATATGACACTGATGAACTGATGGGTGGTCTAGTTTATTGTGTTTACAGTAGTGCTGTCCAACGATTAAAATATTTAATCGCGATTAATCGCATGAATTTCATAGTTAACTCGCGATTAATCGCAAATTAGTCACCCATTTGCGTGCTGTGTGCAATTTCTTTTTTTTATTGAAAACAATGTGTAGTGTTATATTACACACTAACATTTGATGCAAAATCATCAATAAATGGATGACAAAATAAATAATTGGTAACAAAAAGCCCCTTCAATGTGTGTGTGTGTGTGTGTGTGGAGTGTGTGTG